GCGGTCGTCAACACAGCACCTGGGCGGGCTTTGGCAAGTCTGCCTGGCAGGTCAGATGGCAGGGTCCGGGGTCAAAGGACAACCACTGGATGCATTTTGAAACCCGGCCCACGCGCTCTCGGCCTCCTGAGACTTTTCCCGGAGGGGCTAAGCCGTACCATCGCCTGTCTCTCGCGGTCACCGTCGTGAGTGAATCAAGCTCAAAATGGCGGCATGGCACGGCTGGCGCAGCAGGCATTTTTCGAAGAAAAATTGCTAAAATGGCGTTTCTCTTGCGGGAAGCAGTGAGGCTGCAGTCCCGCCCATCATGCTGCCTTCTCCAATGGTGAACGGTGAGCTCGGACAGCCTGACTCGTGAGGCGATAGTACGCAGCAAAGCGAAGCTTTCGGCAAGACTTGGCCGCACCGTTCCAGCTGTACCCAGTGACCCCGGCGCTCATGAACTGCCGCGAGGAGCACCCGGCTTACACTGTCAGGGCGCGCCGGCCCGCAGCCACATTCCAAGCCTAATCACGGAATCTTCAGTTTCATTAAAGTGACCATGATGGATTGCAGCAGATCAATCTGCTTCATAGACAAATGTATCTTGTCATGAGCCGCACGGCACCTTAATTATCTTGTGACTATAAAATATTTAATTAATGTCACGCCAAAACTCTGCGCAGTTTTTTCAGAAGTTCGTGCGACGGATACACATTGACGGGAAGCATTTCACGGCTGCTCGGGTGTGGGAGCTGCATCGGCAGTCCACTGACTACTCAACGACCGCCGCAGCACGCGGACGGAGCGACTTAAAATGGAGATGCAACTTTTAGACTCCACGCTTCTCCTGCAGACGTACGTGAGTCCCGGTGATGCATGAAGGGCTGCCTCTGACAGCCTCGGCATGGCTTGACAGCATAAACGGGTGGCCGCGGCCACGGCCGATAGGAAATGCATATAAATCCCTGCATGCATAATTGAACGACGTGAACATTCCGTAAGTCCGACTCGTTCGTTTCATTATCACGGATCGCATCGTCCCGTAATGTATCAAATCAACTGAAAAGGGGCAGAACTTCGATTAATATAACAAATATATATTCGAAATGGTACGCGCTAAGAGTGTAAGGCCAGAGATCACCTTTGGCCAGCTGGAAAATTGACAAGCGGCCTCTGCACCTCCAAGCCAAGGTTATAATCCGGTTTGGCGCCGTACACGCCACCACGACCGGAGTCCAGCTAAGCGGGCCACGTCGGGGGTGGCGGGCCGACCGCGACAGCGCAGCCTCGGCCCGCATCTGAGCGGCGGCGAGACTCCGCGAGCCGCCTAGCGCTGTCGGAGGCCCGGCACGCGGCCGGCGCCACCCGACGCCGTGTCGCGGCCGGCCGAATAAGGCCGGCGTCGCGGCCCCAGCAGCCCGCTCCGGCCCAGTGCCGACCGAACTCGCCACAGCGTATACAGACGATGTCAAGCAAAGCTTGCAGAGCGGCGCGCAGCCCGCCGATTCCGCCAGCTAACGGTCGCGGCGCCCACATGCACCCCCCGCGGTAAACACACACCACTGAGAGCGATATTCGTCAAAGAGCCGGATCTCCGCGGCGCTTAGCGCAAACACAGCCTGCCTCATCCCGTCGGCTGCGTGGCACTTCCGCATATAACGCGTATGTAAGGTGCAGCTTATCATTTCAGTGTCCACGTGTCATCACACGTCACACTTCAAAGCTGACTTCGTGTACGTGCTCCGTGCGGATGGTGGGTGACTGATTTTCCGTTTGATCGGGTGCCACGCCACACCCGTTTGTTGTGGTGACTTGATGTGGCCATTAAAAAGCCTGGACACGCTAGACGATATAGCTGAAATATACGATTACGAATACGTTTGCAGGACTCAGGAACTCCAGGACAGGCTCACGATGATACAATCCTGCAGCCAAGAGATGTGGGTTCGAGGCGACCTAGCGACTGTATTTTTCCAATTCAATCCGCGAAAGACATAGCGATACTTATGGCCCATCAGTCTGACTACTGTCTGCAACTCAAAGAAGTCATGCGTCATCGAGAACGTTCAGAGACCAAACATCAGAACGCATCAGAGCGATGCTGCATTTTGGTAAGTAATCTGAGCAGGAGGCGCGCCCTCCTCGCGCGCCCTTTACGCGCGCCCTCCTCGTAATGGCAGTCCACAAAACACTGTCGCCTGGCGAGGTACGCCCCCAACCGGTCATGACATATGACGACCGGCTGTCCGCCGGGAAGTGGGGGCTGGGGGGTGGTTGAGCAGGAGTGGATTTCAAGCACGGTTCTAAACGTGATAGATGCGAACAGAAGAGACGTGAACAGAAGCGCAATCAAATGAAAAGTAGACCCTAACCAACATTCTGCAACAAAGCTGAGGAAAGATAAGAAATGAGTATTTGTCAGAAAAAGCATAGGCATCTTTTTCTCTTACTAAAATTATCGGTAGCTATGGGACAAGGGTCCTTGCTACGCAAAGCTTGTTGCAAATACCTTGACCCTTCCACTCCAGGAGAGCAGTTTCGGTGTAGCCGTTAATTTTGGCCCAAACATTTGGATGCGCCGTACAATGACACGACACGGCGGCCCGTCCAAGCAGAATCGCCCCATAGGATCTCAAAAGATAGGCGCCAGCCTCTCACCTGCCAGTCGGCCGTCGCAGACGATCCCAATTATCGAGCGTGTTTTTTTTTGGGGGGGGGGGGCCGCACCCACATAGTCTGCCCTCTAGCGGTCAGGTGCGCACGGGTCCACCGGCTGCGTTACTGGGGGCCGCTAAGCAAGAGGGCTCAGTCGGCCCGCCTTGGATGGACAAAGGTACAAACACGGAAGAGTAGCTGGTGGGGCTTCCCTTCCCTCTCCCCTTCCCTCCGGGAGAAGGAAGGGAATCCCCACCAGCTACCGCCAAAGTAACCTTAAACAGCGAAAATCCCCCAGCGACGGTAAAACTGTTGCCACGCAACGCGCATGCCCGACCAGGTTTTGGACAGCTCGGGCACTGTAGTGAGCAAACGTCTGGGGGAGACAACTACTCGAAGACGAAAAGAGAAAATGAACACGCGCTTGTTTTCCATAACGGGCAGGTTTCACATTCTGCCAGCTGAAGTCTGATTGGCGTAGATGAGTGCAAAGATCATGGTAGCAGGTCATGAAACATGGCCTCCGCACCTTCACTGCCCGTGTCTCTGTTAAACAGACTACACTGTTCTAACGGAGTGCTTTTCGCAGTCGTGCACGGACGCGTAGTTTCATGACGTGTCAATATTTCAGCGCCGCCTTTGAAATGAGAGAATCCACAAAAAAATGTTCGCAAAAGAAGTCCGAATCTTTTGAAAGATGCATTTTATGTCACGCAATTTTCGCTGCTAAGAGCGTTTCTGCAGTTGCCATGATCATTCTGCTTTTTCTTTTGCTTGTTTTTTTCCCTTCAAGCCAATACTTTTGGGCTAATACTTCACCTCTCCACCCTAATCAAGGGGCCGTCCATACATTACGTTTCGCATGGAGGGGGGAAGAGTGTTAGGTTGGTGAGAAAGCAAAGCAAGCCAAGAGGAAGCGGAGATGGTTGGACAGGGTAATATTACCCTTGGGCATTGTTGCAAATCATGCTCCAGTTTCTTTAATAATGTAAGACTTTAAAGCTGTATGACGTCGGCCTTCTCTCACGACAAGCAGCACGCCCGTCTTTGTTTTCCGCCTCCAACCCAAAAAGGGGAGACATGGCGTCATGCTTTACACCGATTTACCAGGTGGAAGGGGTTCCGCCCAGCTGGCCAGTGCTTAATCTGGCAAAGGTGGGCTTTAGAAAACCATAAGTGAGGAGCATTAATTAAGGCAGGCCCCTCAAAGTTCCTCCGGATGTGTGACCTAATTACTGGAGGTTACTTCCCTCCCGTGCAACATAACTTCAACGCATCGACCAATATGTTTCACTCGAGAATGTCTAAGCTAAACGAAGCATCCATCGCCTTGGCATCGACTGTGATTTACTGGATAATATCTCAAATACTTTAATTACGCTGGCCAGTGGCCCCCACATGATAAAAATGAGTGCATAATTCCAGAGTCTCCTAAAAATAGAACCTGTCAAGACTTTCTGTGATTGGCATTGCTTTTGTGAGCTTTCCATTTTCATTAAAAATCATAAGGGATCCACTGAGTGCATTACGGAGGCTGTTGCCATGCGTCCAAGGATGGCAGCGGCGTCCCTTCAAAAACACCCTGACAGCATGGCTCCCTATCGCCGCGAACCTTTCTAAACGAGCGTGGCGGGGCCGGTACAGAGCTCTCCCCAGACCGCGGCACGACCACGTAACGGAGACCCTGGTCACGATTGGCACCCGGCCAAGAATATGCCGCCCCTGCGGCAATCAGCGCGATAAATATCGACGCTAAATGGCCCCAGATGTCGGCCGTGTCATTCAACCCCACCAGCTATTACGAGGGGAAGGCGGTGTATGGCAAACAGCCTTTTACGGAGCGATGGTGAATGCGGAATCGCCTAGCACCCAGGCGCCTGGTACAACCGGGACTCCCCCATCCCCACATGGAAGCCAAAAGCGCTAACCACTCGGCCAGCATCACGCCATGGGTGCATGATCCCCGAGCTCCTATCTTCGGATCGGCAGTCCAGCGCGCTCTGCCTGGCGTTTGGCCTCTCCAAGCTGTCCCCCCCCCCCCCCCGGTGACGTCGCACGCCCCAATACGTCGGCTGCTACACGCACGGCTCGGTCGGCCGGCGCAGCGGGGCGCCCCGGTTTCACCTCCGTCTTCATCCCGGACCGCGTCTCCTGACGACGCCCCCAGCGCGACCAGAGCTGGGTACGGTCACACAGCGCCGAACATCCCATCATTAGAATAAACGCCGCGAATGAAGGTGGGCACGAGCATGTCTGTGCCCCGCGGCGCTCCACCACACTCCGCGCCTGGTACCGCTCATGGCACCTACAGAGCTCACGACTTTGCCAAACGCGCTACTCATTCTAGTGCCTCATCCACTTACCGATGCTGGTGCTGATAACATCGATCAAGTTGAACTTGCACATCTTGACGGAATCAGTAGTCTTCCTGACACAAAATCAGAGAAAGCCGCGGTCAATCGCTTCGTATCCAACCTCACACGGCGGTCCTCTAGCGCTCGACTGCCAACGTGACGTCACGAAATATGGCTGCCGGGCAGCGCCGGACTAACCGGTGCCGTCGGCAGGGGCCTGGTCAGGACCGCGTTAGGCGCTAAGCGCGCATAACAGGGGGTAGCTCTCCCCCCGGCTCCTTCCATCCCACTGTTGCAAGCCCCTGAAGCACCCACAGCTGACGCACGAGAAGCACACCCACAGCAATGTTTGAATAATTTCCCTCGTTGGTAATTGTACGTCCATTCACTCGTTGGAATACAAACCGCTGACGTCTGCGAACGCGAGCATGTTGAGCCCCCCCCCCCCCCCTCTCGCATCGCTTCTGGCGCCTGGTTCAACCAGTGGCGGCATGTTCTAGTTGGAAATGGACACGTGACCGGGGAACTTATCTTGCTTCGGCTTACAGCGCCTTGGCTGGTGGGTGGGGTAATTCTGCTGGAGTGGAATGCGACCGTGAATCCTCAGACGAGGGTATCGCTGGCTCGTGCGCGATCGGGACCGGGTATGGTGTGCTCACACGAAATCAGCGTTTCAGGTTGGCCCGTCGAACAAGTGATTTGTGCGCTGCAGCGAGTAAAGCCCTACCTGCCAGACTGGCTGAGCTAAACAAAACAAAAAACAGCTTTTGCTGCATCCGTACACGTGACCGCCACTGAGGTCTACGAGGTCCGGATCGCGGTGATATTTCCATGACTGTGGCCGTTGGACGGGCTGTGCTTGCCAGCGCGGCAGGCTACCGCTTGTTGACCAGTTGTACCGATATGTCGTTTTCCGGCAGTTTGGACGTAAGATGCCCGTTCCTTAATGTTTTAGAAGCCTTATAACCGTCTAGAACTTCCAAAACATAAAAGGTTCGAATGGCCCAGGGGGTCCCAAGCCTCTATGGGGAGGGCATGCCACCCCTCCCCCCCAGCCAAGCCACTGGCTAACTATACGCTGCTTAAACACATTCCTAGGTTGTACTGCACTGAGTTGCTGGCCATTTTCTTCCCTTACCATGCAGCCTCGTGTTTGCCGCTGGGTAAAATCAAAATCGACTAGAAAACAAAAGCAGTTGCTATGCTGCACAGATGCAACCGATTATCAAAGTGTTTTCTGCTGATAAATTTCGGTGAATGAGGGAAGTCGAAGTTATGTTTTTTGTGGTTACTGGAATTATTGATGAGCCCATTCATATATATATATATATATATATATATATATATATATATACTATATATTATATATATATATATATATTTCTCTCTCCTCTCTCTCTCTCTCTCGCTCTCTCTCTCTCTCTTCTATCTCTCTCTCTCTCTCTTCTCTCTCTCTCTCTCTTCCTCTCTCTCTCCCTCTCTCCTCTCTCCTCTCTCTCTCTCTCTCTCTCTTCTCTCTCTCTCCTCTTCTCTCTCTCTCTCTTCTCTCCCTCTCTCTCTCTCTCTTCTCTCTCTCTCTCTATCTCTCTCTCTCTCTTCACTCTCTCTTCTCTCCTCCTCCTCTCTCTCTCTCTCTCCTCTCTCTCTCTCTCTCTCTCTCTCTCTCTCCCTCTCTCTCTCCTCTCTCTCTCCTCTCTCTCTCTCTCTTCTCTCTTCTCTCTCTCTCTCTCTCTCTCTCTTCCTCCTCTCTCTCTCTCTCTCCTCCTCTCTCTCCTCTCTCTCTCTCTCTCTCTCTCTCTCTCTCTCTCTCTCTCTCTCTCTCTCTTCTCTCTCTCTCTCTCTCTCTCTCTCTCTCTCTCTCTCTCTATATATCTATCTATCTATCCATATATCTATCTATCTATCTATCATCTATCTATCTATCTATCTATCTATCTATCTATCTATTCTATCTATCTATTATCTATCTATCTATCTATCTATCTATCTATCTATCTATCTATCTATCTATCTATATATCTATCTATCTATCTATCTAGTATCTATCTATCTATCTATTATCTATCTATCGATCTATCTCATCTATCTATTATCTATCTATCTATATCTACTATCTATCTATATATCTATCATCTATCTATCTATCTATCTATCATCTATCTATCTATCTATTATCTATCATCTATAATATATATATATATATATATATATATATATATATATATATATATATTCTCTTCTGGCTTTTTTAACTTCTGGCTTATTCTCTTCTGGCTTACAAATTCAGCAATATATATAATGATAAATTTCGGTAAATGTATAATATATATAATGTAATATGAATGAATATATATATATATATATATATATATATATATATATATATATATATACATATATATATACACACACAGATATATATATATACATATATATATATATAGATATAGATATCTATCTGTGTGTGTGTGTGTGTGTGTGTGTGTGTGTGTGTGTGTGTGTGTGTGTGTGTGTGTGTGTGTGTGTGTGTGTGTGTGTGTGTGTGTGTGTGTGTGTGTGTGTGTGTATGTGTGTGTGTGTATTAGCGTCAAGTGTCATTCCGTAAACTAAGGATAGTATAAACGGCATGGTCACTTTGAATGATGGATAAAAAGGGTAGAATAGACATGATCGCGACATTTCCAGCAATATTAGACAGTTAACTGATATATGCCCCGCCATAGAAACCCAATAATTTCATTTGTGGAAAGCACGCAAACTACTTTGGAAACTTTTCATACTGTTCAAAGTGCGCTCGCTGTTCAAAGTAGCTGTAGCTGTTTGCTGTTCTCTGCTTCATTTTGGGCTTAAGTGTATCATAAAGCGGCTGCTGTATTGCGAACAACTGTAACGAAAAATCAGCGCTCGATGCTGGAATTAAGCCGCAGATACTGGAGCTGGAATCGGAGTTCGCGCACATTTGCGGTTTGCTGCTTGGATTCGGAAGTGGAATGGGCCCTGTAAACCGTGAATGGGAGTTCACACACATTCAGCGGAAGCGGAGTTGAGGACGAGCTTTCCCCATGCCGAGTTACAATCCTCCCCTAGACACAATCCTCCCCTAGTCACAATCCTCCCCTAGACACAATCCTCCCCTAGTCACATCCCCCCCTAGACACAGTCCAGCTCCGCACGTGACAGATCGCAGCGGGTGGGTTTAATTTTCCAAACTGATTTTGCTCGGCATCAGCCATCGTCTTGGGACCGGTAGAGGGAGACAGGGCTGCAGGGACCCTAGCTTTCGTGGAAGTCTGACATCAGCCACATGGTAAAGCATGTGTAGAATAGATTCAAAGGGGCTGGCTGACCCTCCCCCTTCGCGGGATGCTCCACGCCCATCAGGGGATTGCTCTTCCCGGAAGTGCCGGTCTGATACGCCGGCCGTATTGCACCAGCACCAGCACCCATCTGGAACCATGTGCGCAAAACACGAGGGCGATCACCGATGCCTAACAGGCATGTCTAGAGTGATGTAAATAAGAAGCGGCAATGTTCCACGGAGTTGGTGACAATCACAGGAGACCTGGCTTAAACAAAGTTGTAGCAGTTTTATTTGTGGTAAAAATATCAACGTTATTACACTTAAAATACATTATTTTGGCCTCGACAGGTGATGACAGATGGAAGCAATGTCTCTTTTGCAATGTTGTATTCTATTGGCTTACCGTAGTGCGTGCCCGCATATTTCAGAATGCTATAGGCGTAAGAATGCTTGAAAAAGCCAGCAACGTAAGATGGAGGCTATTATACGCTCTTAATTCGCATAACAGATTCGGGAAATGATTAGGTGTCATGTTTGCTCTTAGATATACATCTACAGCTGTCTCTCACTCGTGCTCAATCTTGCCTATTCGACTTATCTATGCCATCGGACATAAGGCTGTCCAGCCTCCCAAGATTGTTCGTCCACTTCAACATTGTTTTCCCTGACCCCTGGGGAGGCTAAATGCCATGGGTGGGTAGGCATTTTGGATCCATAAGAAGGCATCTGCCTCCACAGGGTAGATGCTAAAACACGTCCCGGATATAGGCTGGTGAGAATCTTGAATGCAAATCGATGGCCTATAGTGCGCATGTGCTTAAATTTCGCCGGCCGTTTTTCAAGAAATAAGTTTTGCCGCAGCCTTTTAGGTGGAAACAAATTCGGAAGCTTCAAATACTAACTGCCAAAAACAGCGTGACAAAAGCCATAAAACTGCAGTTTCTTCCGCAACAAAGCAAGTCACAGAATAAATACCCTCCTGTCATATACTCCGTATCTGAGCCCTGTTCCTTTCCGTTGTCGGCAGCCACTGCCGTGCCGGCTGTTCCCCGTATGACTGACTGCGAACTGATCGTATGGCTGCTTTGCTGCATATTCACTGATCAGCACTGGTACTTAATGGCATGTAAAGCATATACTGGACACCAGCAACAGCATCTTTTACTGAATTATCTTACTTTACACCACACCACCGCAGAAAAAAAATATTTCGGGAAGCCACATGCCTTAGGCATGAATTGGTCCATCGGACATGTGATTAATCCTCATTGAGCGTTGCCGACTTGATCTCCTTTGGATGTAAGCAGGGGTGTAGCCGGAGCGTTGCGAAGGAGGGAGCAGAGGGTTGACAGAAGCCCGCTGATGATGCCCCCCCCCCCCGAAAAACGGATATAGCTCACTTGTTGACAAGTATCACGGTTGTCTTTGTTTGATTGTGATGTTTAACTTATTACCGGAACAGAAACAGAAACCAGGAGCTGCAGCGGTATAGATTCTGTCTGTAATTTGAAGTCAATAAACTGCAGGATTCAGGTGTTGATGAATGCATGGAATAAATCATGGGCGCTTGTCATGTTAACAACGGTTCAGTGGAGTGTTTCTAAACTGATGTAACTCAAGGTTTGCCCGATTTTTTGCCGTGTTCTTGAGAAATATTGAGGACCTCTTGAACGTATGTTGTAGATCGAAATGGGGTCCAAAATTTGTATTGATTTGGCTAACCCATGTCCGTCCTGACGACTTCAGCATTCAGTCAGAATCGATTACTCAGAAAAATTTTGCAGCTTAGTTTTGAACGCGCGCGCTTGCAAATCTTAGCAACAACCTAGACGTCCG